AAGATATTTAAATTACCTACAGAAGAAAGTAAGATCTTTCATAAGAAACAAGGCTTCCTGCCAACTTCCCCGAAGCTGCTCCCAGGCCTGTTTCTCATTCACTACCACTATTTCAGTTTATATGTCCAAGGATGTGTTGTTTCTTTTTCTCTTCCTATCACCTAGGTGACACATAGTTGGCAGGGAGCATCTGATTATTGGATTGAGTATAAATCAGGTCTTAAGAGCAGTGGCTAGCAGTGAACAAATCTGAATACTGCAGAGCCATAGAATTGAAATTTGGAAGTGAAAACAAGTATTTACTATAAAGTTAGGTAATTATGAAAGTGTTATTTTAAATTAGTGACCAGACAACTTGCTCAGAACCTCATATAACTAAGAACTATTTGTTAATATTTTCTCTGCATTTAAATTTTAAAAAATTATTTTTAACTGTATGTATGTGTCTGTGAATGGACAAGTGTACAAATACAGGTGTGCACAGAAGCCAGGGGTGTTGGAATTCCCAGGAGTTGGAGTTAAAAGTAGTTGTGAGCCACTTGATATGGGTACTGGGAATTGAACTCAGGTTCTCCGGAAGAGCAGCAAATTTACACTTAACTGTTGAGCACTTTATCAGATTATTATTAGTGTGTGTGTGTGTCTGTCTCAGTTAGAGGCAAGAAAATTGGGTCCTCTGGAGCTGAAGTCACAGGTAGTTGTGAAATTGTTGACAAGGATGCTGGCATGTGAATTTAGGTCCTTGATGAGCACACTTGATGAGATGCTCTAGCCATCTCTCCAGTACCTAAAGGCAGTTAGGTCATAGTGGTGGAAGAAGCAATTAAAGAAAAAGTAATTAAATAACTGAGGTCACAAATGTTTATTAGCTAGTCTGGAACAATAAACGAGTTACCATATTCTATCATGTATCAGCCTTTGGCTTAACAGACCAGGTGTTTTGGTAACCTGGTGCTGTACACATGTGAGATACATCACTGACCTATTGGGACTCTTAAACCTTCTAAAACTGGACTTACAAACACAGACCATAAATCTTCTAAAGCTGAACTTGTCTCCTGACTATTCCTAGTAACTCATTCTTAAGTTACTCATTAACCTGTTTTATGTTTTTACCAAATGATCTCTTTACAAAAGAAAGAGCGAGGCCTGGAATTTAGCAGTGTGGATGAAGAAGAAAAGGATTGCATAGTTTCACCAGAAAAATGAGCCCAGGAGAGGGTTCAGTCAGATGTTTGAATAGATGGTTTACTGAATCAGAAAGACCGGCTGGACTGGCTTCAGCGAAGGACATGATCTAGAAAGGACAGACAGTTAGGCTAATTTGACCTGCAGGTCTGTTGAAGGGCTATCATCCTCTGTTCTACTTCGTGACACTTCAGTGTCCTATCATGTAGGTGTCATAAAGTCTAGGGCATCCAAAGAAGCCAATTTTGCTGGGTGTTGGTGGCACATGCCTTTAATCCCAGCACTGGGGAGGCAGAGGCAGACGGATCTCTGTGAGTTGGAGGCCAGGCTGGTCTACTGATCGAGTTCCGGGGCAGGCTCCAAAATAATACAGAGAAACCCTTTCTCAAAAACTAAACCAAACCAAAATAAAACAAAAAAAAATGAAGCCAATTTCTCAGGGTATATGGGCCATAATTTATGACCAACTGATAAAGCCTTTCTGGGCAAACCAAAGACAAAACTTTGAGATTTGAAGCAAGAGATGACAGGAAATACATTTTCTCCAGTCTCCCCGTGATCATGTAGACAGTTTCTATAGTACCCATGTTTTAAAAATGAATATACAACAGAACAAAGAAGAAGAGAAGTAGGTAGAATAGGTTTATGCTTTTGACCCAGGGTATCAATAGGGTATTCAGGGTGGCCCAGAACTTTCTGTCTTCCTACTATGGTCTCCTGAGTAGCATGGCCAGTAACTAGGCCCAGATCTTCAGGATGAGATTAGTTTCAAAGTCTCAGCTCTAGTATTATTTCTTTAGAACAAACGGTTTTGTCTACTTTTATTTATTTTTAAAATTTTATTTCATATGTGAGTGTTTTGCCTGTGCATGTATATCTGTGCACCATGTATATCTGCCTCTGGAGTATCCTACCACTCCTAGGTTAGGCAGTGTTGAGGGTCAAAATCAGGGCTTCTGGCATGCGAGGCAGGCACTCTACCAACTGAGCCACATCCACAGCCTATTTACTTGTGACTGTCTGTCTAACCCTACCAGAATGTAGGATCCATAGTGGCAGGAAACTTACTGTCTGCTTCATCTTTAGTACCTGGAACAGTGTCTGACATGTGGCTCAGTAATCCTGAATAACCCTCCACTTTTTAAAAGGAGATTTGAAAGAATCTACCCCCTTTTCTCCGTCCTCCTGCTCGCTGTGTATACATTAAAGGAATCTTCATGTGTCTTAACTGTGAATATTCTTTCAAGTCCATTATACTTAGTATGAACCAGTGACTTCATGCCTGAACTTTGTCTTTTACTTCATGAAAGCATATCCCACAACTTTTTTGAATGGTTGTTTTCAGCTGGCAAACATAGTGAACAATACATCTGGAAATATTCTGTCATATTTGATCTGAGAAACTCTTAAACCAGCTGCTGATTTGAAAGCCTTTTATTATGCTACAGACAGTCTATTGTCTACAGAAGCACTGGCTCTTACACAGCACTGTCTGATGCATTTTCTGAGCTATTAACTTGATAGAAGAAAAAGAAAACTTGTCTTCAGTAATTTATGTATCACTTGTACTCCCTAAGAATAGTTTATTGTAGCTTTTTCTTTAGCTGATTTATTGTGCATTTAGGGATTTTTCTTGCTCACTTTTTTCAGCTTGCTTTTTTTTTTTTTTTTTGGTTTTGGTTTTGGTTTTTCCAGACAGGGTTTTTCTGAGTTGTCCCTACTGTCCTAGAACTCACTCTGTAGACCAGACTGGCCTTGAACTCACAGAGATCTGCCTGCCTCTGCCTCCCAAGTTCTGGGATTAAAAGTATACACCACCACCGTCCAGCATCACTTTTTCCTTTAAACTCAAGTTAAAAGTTAAATGGCTAAGCAGGATTAAGATGCTCCTTAATGAGGGCCTAAGAAATTTTATATTTCTGTACTATAATGTGGTTTAACTTTGTAACTGAGCATATATAAGTTGATACATGCTGATAAAGTTGGTGAATTTCACTGGGCATATTGTTTGCCTCTGGTAGTGGACAAATTATACTTAAAAAATGTTTAATTTCTTTTTTTCTTAGCTGGGAATTGAACCCAAAGCCTTGTACATTCCAGCCCAGTAGGTTAACACTGAGCTATAGCTGCAAACCGGTTTCCTGATTTTAAATTGGCCTGGAGCTCACTCTGTAGCCTAGGGTGTGTGTTTGCCACCTCTTGCCTTTGCATCCTGACTGCTGAGATTATAGGTGTGAACTACCGTATCTAGCTGTAGTTCTTTTTTTTTTTAAACTTTTTAAGATTTTATTTATATTTTATTTATGTATACAATTATCTGCATGCATGCTTGCACACCAGAAGAAGGCACCAGATCTCATTATAAATGGTTTTGAGCCACCATGTGGATGCTGGGAATTGAACTCAGGTCCTCTGAAAAAGCAGCCAGTGCTCTTAACCTCTGAGCCATCTCTCCAGCCCCCTAGCTATAGTTCTTTTAAGTGAAATATAAGGTCAGAAGTATTTCCCCACAGTACCAAGTCTGTATAACCATACTGGCCTGTATCCAAGTAAAGATGTCTTAATTTGCTTAACTGTTTATATTAGGTAAGTTATTTTAAAAGGACTTTGCCTATTAAGAAATAACATCATAGTTGAATACTTTTGTAAATATTGTAATCATCACTCAATTTGGAGTTCTTAGTTGTGACAATTTTTATGTTTCCTTGGATACAGAAGCAAATGCCAAAAGAGAATGTGCATGTTTGTATTGCTACTTGTAGAGAACTACATTGTTGGCATTCAAAACTGTACATTATTTCTTTTCAAGTTGTTCTTTAATTATGGAAAAGCATATAATTTTCAGGTTTATATATATATATATATATATACATACACACATACATACATACATACATACATACATACATACATGTGTTACTATTAAAGTTGCATGTTTTCGAGGGGAAGGGGAGGGAAAGGGAGAAGGGATTGACATGTGAAGCAAGCTTGTTCCTAATTTGAACTAATAAAAATAATAAATAATTTAAAAAAGTTAATCAGGAAATAGCTCAGTGCTGTCTTGTTTTCTTGTTTGATTTCTAGTATCAGAGTCAGAATTTCATCAGATATTTCTTCCAGTCTCTCTCCTTCTTCACCCACCCCATATATATTTGTGTGCATAATATTTTGTATATTAATTTTAGTCTGCTTAAGTTGTGTGCTTTATGTGACCTTTTAGAGATTTTTTTTCAGTATAGCATACGCATGTATATTTTCAACAGGTTTCTCTATTCTCTCACTGTTTTCAGTGATGACCCCAAGTTACTCTAGAGACGAGGTAACAGTCCTGTGCTTAGACTTTATGATTGCTTTCTAATTATATTGTAAAACATGTTATGAAAACATCCTTTTTTTTTTATTTTCTTTGAGACAAGTTCTCATGCATCCTAGGCTGGCTTTGACCTTACTATGTAGATAAGGAGGACCCTGAATTTCCGATCCTTCTGTTTTCATCTCTTAAGTATTGGGGTTACAGCTGTGTACCACCATGCCTGGTTTGATTGATCTTAATAATTGGAAATCTAAACATTTTCTCTCAAAACTAGATTAATAAGGCTTTTTTGTTGTGTGTTGTTGTTTTTACTGGTACTGTCTGTCCAGGCTGGCCTCAAACTGGTAACCATCTTGCCTCAGCCTCTTGAGTGATGGGATTGCAGGTGTATGTTACCATGCCTGGACTCATTATGTCTTAAAGTATGCTTGAGACATGCTCAAGTAAAAGTTACTGACAGTCTAAGAACTTATGGTTGACTCATGCCTTCCTCTTGTAGGTTGGAAAAGAGACAGTTCAGACCACCGAGGATCAGATTTTGAAGAGAGATATGCCACCAGCATTTATTAAGTGAGTAACTAAAGCATTTGTTACTAAATAGAATAATACTCTTAGACAGAGTAAATTGATTCCAAGAACTACTTCTGGTGTGTGTGTGTGTGTGTGTGTGTGTGTGTGTGTGTGTGTGTCTGTGTCTGTGTCTGTGTGTCTGTGTGTCTTCATGCACATGTTTTCATGTGTATGTGGAGGTCAAAAATAAATCCTAATAAAAGAGCCCCCTTGTTTCTGGTGACTCAAGGTGGTAACTAGGTTAGCAATCCCTTACTCTGGCAATTGGAAATGAAAAACAATCTTTTCTCCTGCTGTTCTTGTATAAATTTTATTTCAGAGTAGCCTCAAAGCCTTGTTTGATGAGAAGACTGTGAACCAATGAATAAGGAAGGAATGATAGAATTAGAGAGTCATCATTGTACATATTTCAGTGAAACAGTTACTCATGTAAAGTTAATCAGAGGTGGAAGCTCAGAGGTTGAACCTTTACTGGACCAGGAAGCAAAACCCTTGGTCTCCATGAGAACATGGGAAAACCAATGTGTTATGATCATCTGAAAAAATGCTGAGAAGTTTATTTAAAAAGTGTATGACTTAATTAGCCACACTGAAATTCTATTGTAGCTTAAAACCCAAACAAGATGAATGTCTTCATCAGCTCTGGAGACAAGTAAATACACGAACATTTAAAACACAATGGTTACATTTTTCTTACTTTTCTTTAGGATGTAAGGAAGCAGAAAATAGATGTCTTGGCTTGAAGGGGAAAGAACATAGGGAAACAGATGGAAGCAATTAATTACATCCTTGGAATTGTTGAGTAGGACATTCTTTGCAGCTATTTGGTTGATGTTTGGATGTTTCCAGGGCATTACTGACCTAAGCCTCTCTCAAGTCTGCATTATGTGGATCTGAATAATGACTTCTTAGGCAGCACAAGGAAGGAAATAAGTGTTAGAGTTTACTGTCAGCTTCACTTTCTACAATGGGAGGGTACCAAGACAACAGAGGACAGAAGATTCTTGGCCAGGGGGTAGGACCATACTCAACCATCTCGTATATATTTAAAGAGCTTTCAGAACTTTCAGGGAAAATATGCCATTTCAGGATTTGGAGTGAGTCTCAAAATCAAATCCTGGCTTGTGTGACTGTCATTTCAGGGAATATTGAAAAGTGAGTTTAATATTAGTTAAAAGTGACCACAGGTTGAATATTTATAGTAAAAAAAAAGATTCCATTCTCAAAAACACCCTTAAAATCAGAACTATTTCTGATCTCAAGCATTTTAGATATGAAATATTCAACCTGAGTTTAGATTATAATTGGCATTGAGAGACTTGCAGTGCTTAGGATAGTCCTTCTTGTAAAAGAACCACTTACAGGCTTGATTTGGTGGCAAACATTTTTAATCTCAGCACTCGGGAGGCAGAGGCAGGCAGGTATTTGTGAGTTCAGGGTCAGCCTGGTCTCTGTGGTAAGTTCCAGGACAGCCAGAGCTGCATAGTAAGACCTGTTTCAGAAACAAAACAAAGCAAGACAAAACAAAACAAAGCAACAAACAACAACAAAAAACCAGAGCAAACCCAAAAAATAAAGACACATTAATACAGAACAAGACTTACATGGTACAGCAAGTTTTTCTTGTGGGTGGAACAGGTTACCTGGTCTCTGACTGCACTGGAAAGTGAGTTTCACATTCACTAAGTTTACCCAAGATTCAAATCACAGCCACACTGTTTCATAAGAGGTATATAGCTGCCATTGAAGCTGTCTTAACTGTCATAACCTTTAGGAGAGCAGTAGCCATGATGTGCTGTGAAACTAATAGACTCACCTCTTGAGAAGTCATCTGTCCTTTAGAAACTGTCAGCAGGCATGACAGCTCTTTCATTCCAAGTTTATATTTGTTATTTTCATCAATCATCATTAGCTAGCTGAGCATTAATATTTATATAAAGTGATTAATGGTCTAGACACACTCACTGGTTAATTATTGATTGCCTTCTATTTGTCTAGCATGCTCTTTGCTGCATATAATAGCAGTTCTTACCAGTATACAGTGAAAAATCCCCTGTGAAAGATATAAGTAGTTTACTAATAGTAATAAACCACTAAATTTACCAATACTGTACTTTTAAAAAATTGAGGGCTGAAGAGATGACTTAGCAGGTAAGAGCACTGGCAGCTCTTCTAAAGGACCTGGCTTTGTTTCTCAGCACCCACATGGTAACTCCAGTTCTAGGGCATTAGAGACCCTTCTGGCTTCCAAAGGCACCAGGCAGTATATGCATAGAGTGCACAGATCAAAACAAATATGAAACTCCAGGAGGTAGGAGCAGTGTGGTTAGAAAGAAAACAAATGAATTGAGAATATTCAGTCACACATCCCTCTCATCACTGCTTGCTGTTTTGTTTCATATACTCTCACTGAAGTGTAATACACTATTTTGCCTTTTATTATGATTTCTTTACTGGAAGAGGAATGAGTGGAATTACAGCTGTTATACCTGGGAATTGCACATAGTTCCAGACACACATGTGGGAACATGTTGGAATATATCACACACACACACACACACACACACACACACACACACACACACACACACGTATATGAGATTTCTTTTTGTTTTTACTTTTTTTTTTGAGACAGGGTTTCTCTGTGGCTTTGGAGGCTGCCCTGGAACTAGCTCTTGTAGACCAGGCTGGTCTCGAACTCACAGAGATCCTCCTGCTTCTGCCTCCTGAGTGCTGGAATTAAAGTCGTGCGCCACCACCGCCCGGCTTTGTTTTTATTTTTTAAACAGCACTTGTAGCTCATCTGGCTTCTAATTCAAGATTCTTCTGCCTCTGCTTCCTAAGCAACTAGTTGGATTACAGTTTTTTATTCCCCCCTGTGTATCAAAGAGAAAGAGTAGAGAGATATTTTGAGAACTTCTAATTTCAGAAACTGTGATACAAATGGGCTTCATAAAAGCTGTCAGTGTAGGCTTGACTAGTAGAAGGAGCTGACATGTATGATATGAGACTTGGGAGAATAGAGGATGGAGAAGGCAAACTACTCAGGATGTAGTAACTGGTGTATGTAAGTCATGGAGACCCATGAGGAGAGGACTGGTGACAGTGGAGGTGGCAGGAAACTAAGCCTAGTGATATAGTTGGGTCTAGGGATGAAGGTCCTTGAAATCCTGGCTGGGAAATTTAGAGCTGGCAGGAAAGAAGCTTTGAAGTTTTGAGCCACAGGTTGACAGCTCGAAAGTGGTTTTTCAGCAAGGTTCATAGCCCAATTCAGATTGGATAATATGTCAGAGCTAAAATGAAGGAGACTAAGTTGTGTGTCAACTGGCCAGATTCATTTTTTGTCAGTGTGGATTGCTTCACATTGTTTCTTTCCAGTGGAGAAATGTTTATGGTGAATTATTTGAATTTGCCTTGTGTCTTAGTTATGGTTTCTGTTGCTGCAAGTAAACACCATGACCGAAAAGCAAGTTGGGGAGGCTTATACGTCCACATCACAGTTCATCATCCAACAGGGCACGATCCTGGAGATAGGAGCTGTTGCAGAGGCCATGGGGGAGTGGTGCTTCCTGGCTTACTCTCCATGGCTTCTCAGCTTGCTTTTTTTCCAGAACCCAGTACCACCAGCCCAGGGATAGTTCCACACACTGGGGCTGCCTCCCCACCCCCAATCACTAATTAAGAAAATGTCTTACAGCCACATCTTATGGAAACTTTTCTAAGTTGAGGTTCCCTGTTTTCAGATAACCCATTTTGTGTGTCAAGTTGACATAAGACCTGCCAGCACATCTTGGGGAAAAATGCCTTTGCAGAATACAGCAGAACCTTTTTTTTTTTTTTTTTTTTTTTTGAGACCAGGTTTTACTAGGTAGTCCTGACTGTCCTGTTTTATCTGGTTTTGTAGACCAGGTTGGCCTCAAAGCTCATAGAGATCCACCTGCCTGTGCCTCTCAAGTGGGAAGTTCATTCTCATTTCTGCAGTAGAACAGAAACCAGTGAGGAAGTCAGTTCTTGGGCCTGTCTTAGGCTGCTTAGAATCCAAATGTGGATTCATTTTGTAGCTTGGATTATTTTGGAAACATATTGGGATGTCTAGGCCTGCTGAATAAATCAATGAGCTGTGTGAGAGAGTCTCTATGCTCCATCCATTCAACATGTTTCCTTGGGGAAACATCTTGTTTCCATCCTTAAACTCTATCAGTTAAGCATAGTTTTGGCACTTACCTGTAAGATTTTAACATAGTTTATATTAATGTGCAAGGAATACATTTTAAAGTGATTAAAGCATACTTAGATCTAATTTAGGTCTTTTGACCTAAGGCAAATAGTGTTTTGTTTTATGTCATCAGCACTTACATTTAGCTTTTCCTTTTCCTTTGGTCTTGAGAATCCAAACAAAATTGTCTTATAATTTGTGTTTTTAAACTCACTTGTTGATTAAAGTGCATAGCATCATTGAGGTTTATTATTATTATTATTTTTTTTTTACATATATATTTTTTTTTTAGCTTAGTATTCGATGCCATTTGTTTGCCTGGGGCTACTGTGTGCTTCTGATGTTTCAGGGTTCGTTTGTTTTTAAACTTGAGATTTTGTGATCCTTTCCATTGCTATTATAAGAAGATTTTTGTCTCTTCAACTGGATGACCAAGTTTTGTGAGGCAGTCTGCCAGCTGCCTCACTGCATTTTTGACCCAGAGCAAGCACTCTCATTTTAAATAGCTCCCTCCCCTTTGCACTTGCTATATTAAACATAGCTATGTATTGCTGTTTTGGTGACTTCCTTAAAAATAATTTGTGAAGCTTTGAGTCTTCTCAATAATAAGCAGAGTTTTTTTTTTTCTCTTTAATTTGGAGACAAGTTCTAAATAGGTGGACATAGGTTAAATCTTTGGTTTACTTTATATACGCCAGATGATTGAAAAATGAGCAAATAAAACATTAGGCATGTGTTACTTGTGTTTCCATTGTCTATGGAATAATCAGAAGATTGAAAAGAG